ATGTATATATATATATGATATGCTGCTAATTTCTTCTGAGCACGTATAACTCAGTAAGCAAGTTTTTAGTGAAGGTGATGGAGAGAGAGAGAGGGGGGGGGGACTAGCCAGTGAAAACTGCACTGGCTCTGCTCTGCTTGTGAACAGGAATTGCTGTAAAATGGCTGTAAATAGCTTTTGGCTCAGGGCCAGGTTTTGGTTGGCCATGCGCATTGTTTACTCGTGGTGTTAGCCTGGTGTGATGTAGAGCAGTATAAGTCAAGCGTGTCAATCATGGATATGCACACAACTACTCCTACAGTCATTAGGTGACAACTCCTACAGACTACAGTATTACGCTGACGTGGATCATTGCATTGTTACGGCCTGCGTGTTCAGATATCAATCCGTGTCGTGTTAGAAATGCGTGCATAATTAATGTGATTAATGCTGACCTAGACACTATACTACATCAACGCGCTCTCGTGAACGGTCGAACAACGCGACACGTTTTCTTTAACCAGGAAGAGGCGAGACGGTGTTTCACTGCAGTCCCTGGTGTGTGCGTGTGTGACGCTGACAGGCAGTACGGTCTTTATCACCGCTCATTTTATGGCGCGACTTCTGCAGAGTGGACATATACATTCCTACGTAGCGCATGGTTACCCGCATTGTAGACTTGTGTGGACTGAGAGCAAGTTCAATTGATTAATGCAATTACGAATGTTTATTAGGATTCCATAATGAGTAACGTGCAAACGGCGAATGGATATCCAGTAGTGCTGTCGGCCATCCCTCCTAACATTCGGGTGAGTTATCTCCACAATATGATTTCATAAACGCCACGCAGAGCGAAACGTATGTGTTTATTGCTGTGATTGGGTTGATGATGAGTTATTCATTAAGTAACATATTTTACAGTTGTGCATGCAGAGAGTTGCCATAGCTTGTGAATATTTCACTACGCCAAATATATTGTTCGTGGGATTCGTGTCACAGACTCGGGTTAGGGGGAATATCAAATATATACGTGTGTGTGCGTGCGTGTGTGCATGTGCGCACGTGTGCATGCGTGCGTCCTTGTGTGTGTAAAAGCTGCATTTTAGGTCCTATAACAGCATACTTTCACTTTCAGAGAAATATTTCTCTAATCAACCGCCTGTTTCCAAAAGTTACTTTACAATTAATAATCTCTCGCTTGATTTAAAGTGAGGTATGCTGTTAGCCAACTGAGGTGCTACAACCAATATATGCAAAACTAGAGCACTCGGAGAGCGCAGACCTCCGCCAAGGCAGCTCTGTGAAAAATTTTTATTAATTAATTAATTGCATCCGGATCAGCACCAAAATGTAATCAATTCTAAGTTACCCAATTTCTGACCTATCCTGAAAATTTTATTAATTAATTAGTTAATTAATAAATTAATTGGATTCGGATCACCACCAAAATCTCATAAATTCTAAGTTAGCCCATTTCTGACCTATCCTAAAAAATTTATGACAATCCGTCTATAACTTTTTCAGTTAGGCTGTACACAAACCCACAAACCAACAAACACACGCCGAACAAACACACGCGGGTGAAAACATAACCTCCTGCCAACCCCTTGGCGGAGGTAACAACGAGTATAATATAGAAAAATTGCTCTGGTACACATTATTATAGCTGGCATGGGGAATAAAGCAGGTTACACGTTTGGTAATCTCCGACTGCGGTGACTGCACCAGCATGCAGTAATGACACGTCTATGTTCCGTGTGAATCGGAGAGTTCGTGTCCTCTGCTTCGTCGTTTATCTTGCAATGTTCGTGAGTCATTGTCATACTGACAGTGACAGACAGCATGTCGTTACCACGGGCTGTGCGTGCTTAACAGGCGTTACACGTACTGCGATGTGTCATGTACGTGAACGGCGTGGATCGGTGCTATGGCATGACATTGTGGGTGTGACAGCTTACGATAGCGAATTGCCACAGTTACATCACAGTGAGCACATAACCTCATGATGGCGTGACCAGGCGCGCCGGAAGCAATTTTGGATTGGGTGGGGGCAAAGACCTAAGGGGCTCACGATTTTTTTATCGTGTGTGCGTGAGCGCGTGTGTGCGTGAGCGCGTGTGTGCGACGTGGGTGCGTGTGTGCGTGAGCGCATGTGTGTGACGTGTGTGCGTGAGCGCGTATGTGCGACGTGTGTGCGACGTGGGTGCGTGAGCGCGTGTGTGCGTGAGCGCATGTGTGTGACGTGTGTGCGTGAGCGCGTATGTGCGACGTGTGTGCGTGAGCGAGTGTGTGCGACGTGTGTACGTGAGCGCGTGTGTGCGACGTGTGTGCGTGAGCGCGTGTGTGCGTGAGCGCATGTGTGTGACGTGTGTGCGTGAGCGCGTATGTGCGACGTGTGTGCGTGTGTGCGTGTGTGCGTGAGCACGTGTGTGCGACGTGTGTGTGTGAGCGCGTGTGTGCGTGAGCGCGTGTGTGCGTGAGCGCGTGTGTGCGACGTGTGTGCGTGAGCGCGTGTGTGCGGCGTGTGTGCGTGAGCGCGTGTGTGCGACGTGGGTGCGTGACGCGCGCGTGTGTGCGACATGTGTGCGTGAGCGCGTGTGTGCGACGTGTGTGCGTGAGCGCGTGTGTGCGGCGTGTGTGCGTGAGCGCGTGTGTGCGACGTGGGTGCGTGACGCGCGCGTGTGTGCGACATGTGTGCGTGAGCGCGTGTGTGCGACGTGTGTGCG